TTTATGGTTGGAAATGGATAATGACATTAATGAATCCTAAAAGCTCATTAAGAAATTTTTCTCGATTGACAATGATTTCATTTCCGTCTCGAAAAATTAATCAAGGAGCAAAAATATTTATGAATCGATTCGGTATAATTTACGACCTCCGTTTTAGCCACTTCTCCGTATATGTTCCAAATCATAGTTTTTAATATTTATTCAGTTCCTTTTTGCAGCTAAAAGCGCCATGCAAGAAAATCGTTGTCACATTCTTTTTTTGTATTTTTTATTTAATTGGAAAAAAGATACTCGTGGGCTTTTATTTACCCGTTGCTTGGTTTATTCTTAACAACGTCCTTCTTTCTTTTTTTCTGTTTGAAACAACACGAAATCGAATGTCATTGAATCTGATTCATCGGTTTAATGATGATCCCGCTTATTAATATGACAATCTCATGACATAATACATGTAATGGAACTTTTTTGGATTTAAGAGTTCGATAAAACGACATTTTGAAGAAAGTTCAGCATGATCATTGTCTTATGGACCCATGATGTTAACCCGGCGTCGCGGCTTTGGAATACGAACTTATAACTTCAAAAGCGCAATAACTCATTCTTTCGTGTTTGGGTATAAAAGAGATCTTGGTGATACGGCTTTTATTTTACTTTTAATCCAAAGAAAAAAAATAAAATAAAATAAAGATCAGCTGTCACACACAGCCTCAAGAGCCACAGTATCGTGGCTAAGAGGGCATGTAAATTTTGGAGTGAATATAAAAATGGCTATCGTTCAAGTTGAATATTTAAAGTCCGAAAATTAAATTATCACAAAATAGCAAAATAGTATAATTTATTGATTATTAACTAAGCTGGAAAATTATCAATATTAATAAACCAAACCAGTATGTTTAACTTCAGTTGGAATTATAACAGTATGATCAACAAACTACTGTAAAATTATTTATACACAGTGATTATTCGGAGACTTTGTCCGTTTTTAACAATATAAATACAAACCCAAATCCCTATCTGATAAAAATTTAAAAACTAGTGTGAGCTCAAAAACTCTGGTTTTTATTATTATTTTTTTATTAATATTCTAATCTGTAAATAAAATAATTCATTAATCCTTTCATATATTATTTTTTTTTTTTTTTTTTTTTTTAAAAAAAAAAAAAATTTAGAGCTACTCTGAATATTTTTACCTTTTTTTTCGACTCTCTTTCTTTCTTTACTTTTACTTTTTTTTTTATTATTATTATTTTACGCAATTTGTTTTTCGGTCGAATTTTTCAAGAATAACGAAATTCAAAAAAATTTCGTAAATTTAACCGATATGACGCAACATTCATCAAATAACCGAAATTTTAACACTCCCAACACCCCCAATACCTACCATAAACCACGTGGAACCCATGCGCGCGTCTCCAGAGTAAGGGTGACAACCGTTGGAAAACCTTGTTTCTCTGAAAAGCAACTTAGAAGTTGTCCAAAGTGTAAAGAGTCTGCAAATAACGTGAAAATGCTGACGGCACGTGTCGGAAGAATTGAATGTTTGGTTAATGCTTTAGCGAAAACTACTCAGAGTTTAACATCAATGTCGAAGGTAATCATCATACTTCGATTTTTGTCAAATGTGAAAAAAACGTGAATGTTGCTTGATTTATTTTGTTTAAAATTTTTTTTTTTCAATTTTTTTCCGTGTTTAGCGAGAGGATCGATTGGCTCAACATTCGAGGTTTGGAGGAATTGATCTGAAACGTTGTAGCCTTCAAGAACTACAAAAATTGGTAGTAGCAACGACAAATATCATGATTCCCTCAAGTAACAAATTATCACAAAAATTAAATCAAAACCCCCACCCTTCTTCTACCATCTCCGGTAATATTAATAATGATAATTCGCTCTCCGCAATAATTGCCACCACCAATGCCGCCGAACAATCCACTTTACATTCCGAACCTATGGAAGATGTAAAAATATATACAGATCATAATCAACAGGAGGTAGCGCCGACTTCTCCCGTTAGAACTGCCACATCTGCCTTAAAACGTAAAACATTGCGTCAAGATTCAGGATTTGTAGAATCAAAGCACGTAATTCCCTCTGATAATGCTGAGAATACCAAGAACGTTCCAATTAACGAAAAGAGTCGTTATTCTGTTGATGCAATCATTTAATGACCTTTGACGATGAAAAAATTAAACCACTCATTTATAATTTGGCATTTAGAATTTGTATTGTAATGCTTTTTATTAAACGGTATTCAGGAACATTTGTCTTTTTTTTGAACACATTTGCTTATCCAACTTTGTTTTGATGGCTCTCTTTTGATTTTAAAACGAATAATGACTGGGTCATTTTTTTGTATTTTATTTTTTAATAAAAAAATAGGATAGACGTCCGTTATTAAAAAAAGAGAACAAAAAAAAAAAAAAAAAAAAAAAAAAAAAAAAAAAGGAAAGAAATATTTTTTTATATGAATCTGTCACAAAATTTATGAATCCACTCTTATCACTCTAAGCAATTTATAACATATCTACCACATTGTGATTATTTTAATCATTTGTATCATATTTTACATTCCTTCCAATATAATTAAATTATATATATATTGATCATGATTTCTTAAAGTCTCTTTTTTATTCTTTTTTTTTTTTTTTTTATCTCCGTTCATATATATATTATATATTTTCCTTTCACACCTAAGTGAACTTTTTATTTTTAACAAGTGTTAAACTTATAAATTCATTATGTATTCATTATATTTTTTAAAAAATCGACTTTAACGATCATTTGATTTTTTTTTTTTTGGTTTCCTTTCTTGTAAGGTTCTTTATTATTATATATCTATTGAATTTTCCTTTTCTTATTCTAGTTAAATAAATTATTGTATGAAAACTTTTTAAAAAAAGATCTTTTTTTTCATTGTTTCTATGCAGTTGCTTGCGAACAATATTCAATTCTTAAACAACGAATCCCTTGGAACCGGGTTCCCCGCATCTATTTTTTTATTTTCTTGATTTTTCTTTAAATAAACATACAGATCATGCTCTAATCTGTACGTTTATCTTTCATTTTCAGGAATTGACTTGCAAAAAGTTTGTCGGCAGAATTTTGAGAAAACTCCGTCATGTGCCATTTACAAAAGAAAAAAATAAATCCTTTAACAGTAATAAAATAATGCGCAGTGCTACATCAGAATTTTATCTGTGTAACGAAAAGCAAAAATGGAGCCAAACTACTTTGAAAAAAAAACAACTGGTTTTTTTTTTAAAAGTTAGTCACACCATTTCTCAAGTTTTCTTGATCTACGTGATCTTTATCATCATACTATACTCATAGAAAAATTATTAAAATTATAGAAAAAATGACAATTTACCATTTTAACGCATCATTAACCTGAGCAACTTTCATATTGGTTTATTTATTTTTATTTTATTTATTTTATCATTAGGTGGTACCTTGTTCAAAAGTCGTAAATCAGGTTTAAATCATCAACGAAATAAAAAAAAAATAACAAATTACCGAATAAATTTTCTGAAGAAAGGCGGTGATGTATTTTTTTTTATTTTATTTAGGATTCATTCGTAAATGAAGATTTGTTTGTACAATAATTTTAAACTCACGCGTTTTTATCAAATGAAATCTTTTAAAAGAAATAAAAATCACTGTTGGCGTAATTGATTTTTTTTTTTACAATTCTTTTTTTATGATATCATTTTTAATTAAACCTGAAATTACTCGATATTGTGCGAAATTTTCTTTACTTGGTTTACCGATTTCCGTCTATCATAAGCATATGATAGAAGCAATTGCTTATTTAATTCAAAGAATATCCACTAAAATTTTTACTGGAATTACGGGTTAACATAGACTATCGATTTGTTCAAGTTGTGTGAAAAAAATTTATTATTTTTGGTTAAATTTGATAAGACAAAAAAAAATTTTTTTTCTTTTTTGACATTGGCGCGGAATCTAATCTATAAAACTCCGACATTTTTTATCTATTATAAGAATTCCGAAAGTACCCGTAACAATAAAAAATACTAAATTTGTTAGGTTATAGAAATCTGCAATAATACAAAATATTTATGATTATGGAGCCGATTGTTGTAAAAATTTTCTCATTCAGAGAATAGGATCACAAAAAAAAAGGAGTCTATAATAATTTTTGGCTTCCGATTACTGAATCATCGAGTGCGCTGATGACCCGACAATAATTCATTAGGCAAATGACTTGCGAAATTTGTTAAGTGCTTTCTTTTATAAATCTTTCTGATACTATTGATATGGTACCTTTCGTTTTCCAACACATCAGGATTTTTATAAATTAGTCAACTATTCTTTATTATACACGTTGCGCGTTTTGGTTAAAACTGTCGCAGGTTACACAAAATCGGAGTTATCATTCCTTTGGAAGATCATATCGGTAAATAGTGACAAACCATAAATTTAGTGTGGTACCGTACTTTGAATTCGGAGTTCGGATTCGGAAATAAATTCCCGACACCTGCGGAGTAGAATTGTTATACATACATCAATTGGTGACATCATCATCATTAATGGAATTTTTTTTTCCTTTGAAACACTCCAAATTTCACTAGCATGACATACTCCTGAATCTGTTATTTCCAAACAAAAGCCCTTTTTTTCTTTTTGTTAAGATGATAATAATCGCTGAATGAATCATTTTTTTTTATCCAAAATTGGAAATTTTTCGGAGATATGAATCGGAATCTCAAGATATGTCTCCGACATAATGAAAAAAAAAGATCAGAATTTAAATTTGAGGCATATCTATGAAATCATCTTCACTTCATTATTCTTCGTGAACATCACCTTTTGAAAGCTGTCATCAAATTACAAATGTCAAATTCGATTGATTATTACATAAATTGGTTTGTGTCCATATTCGTAAATCTTATGATGATTCTCATCATAATAAAAGAAAATTGGTAACTTCTAAGCAATCAACATATATATATATATAGTACATTTTTTCACCATTCGAACTCCGCATTATGGAGCGGACAATGCGTTGTATTTCGAATCAATCTATAACTTTAAAATAAATTGGGCAATATTTTTTAAAAGTTACTTTTGATCTGTTAATCACACGTTCCTTTTCAATATGTCATATGATCGATTATGAATTTAATTTAGAAGTGATTTTCTCAATAATAAAGTTATTGGATCCTTCAAGAGCTTTTTAGTCCGTTAAATTGACCAAATGCAACTTTGATTATTAATAGAATCATTAATTAAATCAAGTAATCTCATTATGTTATATAACTTTTTATAAATTTCCTAATAAGCTAAAAAAAATCACAACATTATTATTATTCATCGTACAACAGATTGGATTTTCCAACTATGCGTTATAATATAATCACCTGGATTCCGCATGGACCTATTAGCCCGTGTAGTAACGAATGCCGATAACACGTTAAGTACAATAAATTTATATTACAACAATGATCATAAAAATGTTATTTTATAATAAATAATTTCCTGATCTGGAATTTTATGTGCATCGCCACTCCGTAAAACCACATAATAACGAAGCCCCACCCAAAGTAAACTTCTGATTAAAGATTCATTATCATCCAAGATTTGTTAAATTACTTGCCTAGTTAACTAATCAGATTGTAATCCTTGAAAGTTTGATATTCAAAAATGAAATTTAACTTATAATAGTAATTTAATAAGAATCAGTATATAATGAGATATATTGGTTTAGAGATATTTGATAATTTCTACTCTACACGAGGTGTATGAAACATATGGGTGATTTAGTTTAAACTTAGGTTACTAGGCAAATTAAACACCATTGAGGTGATTAACCAGCGTTTCATAAACATCTTATAAAAAATTTAGTTTATCGATATATAAGATAGCAATTTAATTGTCTATTTGATTTCACTATTTTTGTTAAGATAAAATTATGCAAGTTTAAAATTCTACATAGTATTATAGTTCAAATGTAAATATTATAAGATAAACTTCACATATCTTTAATTAATATAAAATATATAAAATTGATAATCAATTCCTTTCTGTTATTTAGAAGCTATTACCTCTTTTTTTTTTACTTAATCTTGCATAATTTTTGTAAGATTACTAAATAACGTATTTTATATAATTCTGTTTAACATTTTATTAATGAATTTTATAATATAATTAGCAAAAAAAAAATGAAAAACTTTATACTTTAATCAAAAAATTCAATAATAAAATTTTATCAAGAAGAATGTTTTAATCAAAAGATCTTAATTGTAAAAATTTGAAATTTGATAAAAGTATTAAATAAATACTAATAAAAAAGATATAAAAAATAAAAACTAATTATGAATATAAAAAAAATATAATTAATTTACCGATATTTCATTTTTATAATATCTTAAATGTTAAAAAAATAAATTTTTTATTAAAATAAGTAAAACCCATTGTCAACTTCAAAAACCCATGTAAAAAATAAAAAAAAAAAATATATAATTGATTTTATTATAAAAATTATAAATAATTTATAACCTTTTACTATAATTGATAATTTATTTTAAAATATTTAATAAATTTATTATTTATGAATTTTATTTTTAAGAAAATTTCTAAGTTTACACAGGTGTATGTACTTGTATCATGTGACATATACTTATTACTAGCATCACACCCCTCTGTTTTTAATTTTTACTATTTATTTTAGGAACTTAGAAATTTTTGGTGAAAAACTCTTATTTATCACTCATTAACCGTCACATAAATGTTATATAGATAATTTTTTAATTTCTTCATATTGATAAAAGTAATATTAATGCCAGCTATATCATATAACCATATAAAATACACCTATATACAAATAGAATTGACTATTTTTAAATGATATTAATTAAAAATTAAATAATAATGCTTTTATAACTTAATAAATAAAAATTTATAAAAATATTAAAATGATTTATTTTAATACTAATATACTGATATTTATTTTAAATCTTTTTTCTTAAAGCATAGGTATAAAATTAGTTATAAAACATTATAGAAAAATTATAATATTTTAATATTGAATAATCATAAAAAGATAAATAAAGTTTAATTTTTAAATTAGTAATCATTAATATATAAAAAAATAATTTAATATATATTTTTATAAATTTTATTAAAAGTTATTTAAAGTTTATTA